AATACAAACTTCTAAGTGCACGTGTTAGCTTTCTCGTTGCATCCTTAAGCTCTTTAAAATGAGGAAGGCGGCCGGTGGATCGTCCTGTGTGTCCTGTTGCCCTCCTTCCCGTGTTCCTGATCAGTGACTAACCAGCAGCGCGACTGTCTGTTTTCCTCTAATGACGCAGTAGCTTGGGCGAATGTGGGCAGAGCCCCGCTGTCGTGCTTTATGATCTGTGGTGCGGCTTGGCACTTTTTGCTTTCATTTGCTACAAGCTTTCCGATAGAAGTAACCCTTTCGAAAGCAGCACCGCCGCCTCCTCCAGATGCTTTGGAAAACCGTAACCTGTATTTCTTTTTTTCTTTCTTTCTTTCCTCCCCCGCCCCGTCTCGTTTAAGATGACCTTGAGCGATGCCATGAGGAGCAAGGCAAGGCTGTCAGTGACAGGAAGTACTGGAGACAATGGACGTGTTATGACTGGAGAATTTCCCAAAGCGGTGCATGCTGTCCATTACGTGAGTCCCGGCATGAGAATGAATGTCAGTGTGACTGATGGCTCGTGGTTGATAAGAACCTTCTGAGTGCCTTACACGATGGTTTTCTTGTGTGTTTATTGTCACAAAGTGGTGAGAGGCATCCGGTATCGCGAAGACTTTTCTTTCAGCCAAGAATTCTTAAATATGCGGGATTCATCTTGAAGTGTAAGGAATGGTTACTGAAAAACACAACACCCTTTTCTACTCCAGTTCCAGATGACGCTGGGCGGAGTCGCGCCGCTCACGCGGAAGTGCGCTCACTTAACAGCAGTCTTTGTACAGACAGCAAACCCGTTTCTGCAGCCACTGTTGTTAGTCTCTTGATTCATAATGACTTAAGCACACTTGACATCAACTGCATCAAGATGTGACATGTTTTATAAGAAAAAGAAAAAAAAAACATTTAAAATGAAAAAAAATATTTTTAGGTATTTTCACAAACAAACTGGCTTTTAAATAAATTTGCTTCCGTGTGGGTTGGATAAGACAAAAACGATGAAACTTAGTGGGACAGGATGATCAAGGCTTTAGGTGTCAGTTCCATATTTTTCAAAGCCAAATATGTAAATGCTAAGGAAAGAAAACCAAGAGAAGATTCCAATCTTGTAGTAATTTAATGTTGTTATCCAAACTTTAATGTACCCTCTTCTTTAACATTTGGTGTTAATATAAAATTACTTGGCAATGCTTGACATTTGAAATAAACACTTTTCTATTGTTTTATTTGCAAGTGGTCCAATTAATTTTGCTTAGCTACAGTTTGGTCATAAATTGAGTTCAGAGACACAATCAAATTGTTAGGTTCCCAGAGAAATCAGCCCCCTTTTAAGAAGGCCAGGTGGTTCCTAAAGTATAAACTTGTCCCCAGACAGTATCTGAACCTGTTTTTCGTATGTCTTATTATATATAAAGGAATATTTAACATAAAGCATTTAATCTATGTAGATAAATGCGAATAGACTTTAAAACGCTAATATTAAAAAAACAAATAGAGTATGTGAGTAGGTTCCATTTTAAAGTGTTTGAGCTGACAGAAGAGAAATGTTAGTTGTACATGAAGTTAGAAATGCCTCAACAGAATAGCCTCGAAAGTAGCTTTTTAGAGCGACGCCCCCGATCAGATGCCATGAACTAAATCTGAGGCTTTGGTTTTAAAATTGTAAGAGGTTTCATAAACCTTACATATGATGAATAATTTAAGGACTTTTGAGTCACCTGCAATCTAGTTTCTTCCTATTACCATCAACAGAATAATATATTAGTTTCTGCCCATTGCCAAGAATAATATATTATTTTTATACATATGCCTCAGGTGGAATGGCTATTTTAAAATGCCCAGTGTGGATAAAACATCACATTTCCGTAACTTTTAACTAAAAAGCTTGTATTTCTCTAGTGAAGCAATTTAAAGGAACTCTCTTTCCCTTCATAAAAGACCGTGTATTTCCACCGGAGCCCCCTAAAATAAACTTAATCTAGGGTTTTAAACAATTATTAACATCCAGTAGTTATTTTTTTTATATTTCTAGTCTTGTTATTTCTGCAAGTATGCCTTTGAGCAGCACTTGGTGTTTTGCTAAGTGCCTTGAAAACATTCTGATTTATGATATTTCACAGCAGGGAAAGAGAAATGTAAGCTCTAATAGCAGCCACTTGCGTTGAACAGGGTGGCACATGGTATCATAATGTTCCTCCCTAAATTTAGCTGTCCCTGATCACAGATTCCTAGATAATACACGATAATTTTTTTTAGTGCATTTCTCCTCATCAGGAATGTTGGAGGTGCATTTTAAGTTTTAATAATCAATGCTAGAATGACCAAATTGCAGACTAATTGTTTCCATGTTACACTTCAAATGAGTTTTTACAAATGAAAGCGATGACTGGATACAGTCAGATGCTAATTATTGTACCTCTGGGCCTACTCTTCTAAAAATCGTAGCTTCTCAATTTTTCTCTGTCAAGCTTGAACTCATGTAAATAATTGAAATAATGTAAAGTTATATTTTCATGTTTTTATAGTACGACATGACAAGAATACTTAATGTAAGAGTATTTCAACTGTGGATAATGTTGATTGGATAATGCACATCTCAGTTTCAAGCAGTAACCATAGTTTAATATCCATGTAACGGTGCATCGGTATATTCTATATAAATATGTCTGTGTGCATATAAGTGACAAGTGGTCCAACAAGAGTGATGACAGCTGTCTAAAGGTTTTTTTATTCATTTTATATAAAAACTGTTATGGAAAGACCAAAATGTTTATGAACTATTCTTATGTAAATTTACAACTGTCCTTGACTGTACTTTTTTGTTTACAGTAACTGGTACCTTATTTTCTGCTGTGTTAAGTGGTGTCAAACTCCAAGGAGACATACACTTTCTATAACTTCTATTGGAGATATTGGAATTTCCAATTTTTCATGTGTACTATTGTCAGAAAATGCTTTTGATTTTATTTTTAAATCTAACATCGGATGGCTTTTTCGGAGTGTTGTAAAAACTTCAATCATACATAAAACATGTTCTTACAAAAGGCAGAGATCTTTATTTTTTTTTTCTCTTGACAGTTCTTAAAATGAATAATAATGAGAAACCAAAAAGGGTCTTTAAATTTAATTCCTAACAAACCCAGCTATTTCTAGTCAACAAGGACATCCATGCTCAGTTTCTCCATCTGCTCGGTACCAGTGTAATAAGGTGGAAATAACTTTTTTTTTAACTAAAATGATTAACGTTTTCTACATTCCATGCTTACAATCATTAAGTGCTGTGGGCATGTGTAGAAATATGACTATTAATTAGTTACATTCTCATTTTATGATAAAGACACTCTTCTGCTAAAATGTCACTCATTGCTGTCCTCATCCGTGGTGCTGTATGCTGTCAGCTCAGTGCTTTAATCCCGAATTAAAGAGCAAAAATGTGACTTGCTTTAAAAATCCCATAAGGTAACACATTTCCAGGCTTACATGTTTCAAAGAAGTGCTCATTCATGGTTTTACTGGAAGAGAGTATTAATGAGAAACTAATGCTCTTGCCATTTTGGTTGTCTTATTACAAAGGTGATCACTTTAATATTTAGGCTGTACTTTGTAGGTATATTCTAAAATCAAGGCATTTCAGTTTTTCAGAATCATACATTAAGTTTTCTTTTCATAAAGCTTGGTGGTGGGAATACATTTAACGTTTAAATGATGAGTATGCATTTCATTGGTATTAACAGATATCAGTGTGTCTGCTTGAAATCCAATCATCCTGAAATTCTGCAGTCCTCACTTTGACTGCAAGTACAAATATCTCAGTGGTCGTGATAGTAAATTGAGCAAATGAAGGGAAGCATTAACAATAGAATAACCCTACAGGACAAGTTTAACATCTTGACAAGGCCATCAAACAAAACAAAACAAAAACATTTGTTGAAACTAATTAGAAAACAGGAAGATATGGTTTCTCCTTTTTTTTTTTTTGTTCCTTGTCTCATCACATCCTAGAGTTATCAGCCCAGTAAATCTAGAGAAACCTCAAGCATCTCTTCTCCCTTACAATGTATCTGTGGGTGCTACACTTATTTTAGGCTGGGCAGAGCTTCTTTACTGCACTTTGAGAGCCCGTTGGTCTGTGGCGTAAAATGAAGTATAATTCAGGCAAATATTCCATTTTGCTCGAATTAAGTGAAATAAGTAGGTCTTTTGATTGACCTAGTCACATGTGTCCTCCATGTTATCAATTTTAATTAATGATGTATGGCTTATTAGTAATATACTATGAACTTTGGGGAGTTTACTGGTTACATTTTGCAAATTTAATATCAACTCTAAATAAGATTGTTAAAGGAAATAGAATGATATAAATATCTGTTTAAAAGTACAGTAAATTTTGTGCAAAGGGTTCTAATATTTAAAATTGGTATATTTTTGAATCACCAATATGAAAGATGGGTAAGTATAAATGAATCATCATGATACGCTAAGTGAGAATTTGGGGCTGCAGTCAATGGTTTGTGAAAGTTGTATCAATTTTTTTTAAAAAGAAGGGATTCATTCTCTTCATTGTTGCTTGGGTGACACCATGACCCAGGGAAATTCCGTTAGGTGCCCACTGACAATTACACTTCTCTATTTCTGTGTTTGAAACAACAACAACTCATAGATCACATAGGGCACTCCAAGTTCATGAAGCGTCAAACATATTTATATAACAATGAAGACATTCAAGCACAGAGACTAACACAAATGACCTAAGCCCCAACACAAGCAGAAAAGTGCCTCAAATCAATCTGGGTCATAAGAATTTGTGTATGTGTTTTATATCTTGTTTCTAATTCATTTCCTTCTTGCTTCACCATTTTACATTATGTACAGCTGCCATTTTTCACAGACTTCAAATGGTACCCAGCTTTTAAATTTCACTCATCTTGCCTTTTTGCTTTTATGCCATGTTATCCCATCTATTCCTGGCTTGTCTTTCCCAAAAGATTTTACTTTGAGGGCACTTAGAATGCAGTTCATTTTGTCCAAGAGAGGACTGACCGTCTCAGAGTCTTCTTAATAACTATAAAAATGACTAAGTATTTTTGGAGTGAAGTAAAAATTTTCTGCTAAGCTCTATGGCTGCATCACACACATCTTCTGATCGAGTAATTGCAGATTTTGTTGGCTTCGTCCATTTACGTAAAGAGCCCCGCAATGTATAGAGTTCCCATAGGAAAAGGGAGGCTCTTCAATGCAGCAGGGAGATAACTCTATTTTTAATATGTTTGCTCATCAGAAGTCCTTTTTAAATTCACTTTAGAATGAACTCAACCCAATTCCCAATTTTAATTCCACCCTCAAGTGCTTCCAGATGATTTTTTAATTGACTCTTTCCCACTCGGTGTAAGTCAACTTTGCTCTTTCAGAACCAAGTTCCTTTCCGGATATGCAGAAACTCACTGTTCCTGCGTTGGATATGCCTGAACTCACTGGATGAGTTTGGTCATTTTCCTTTCTTTTTTTTTTTCCCTTTCAGGTTAATGTGCCGACTTCATTTTATTGTAATCTGGAGTGTGGGGGAGTGGATTAAGTCCTCGGGAGGGAATCAAAACCAGGGTTCTAGCCTTATCTTCCCTTGTCTCTGTCACGAGTATGTGCATATGGGACTGTCTCATGGAATGATGAGCGGTAATGTAATATGATTACTTAACAAATAAGGCAACATCAGCTCTTCTTTAAAAAAGTCATTTAAAGGAATGAGTTCATGCACTGGAATTTCACTTGGTGCAGAAAAAACTCAGTTATTCATTCATTCAAACAAATATTTATTGAATGTATCTTGCAAAAAATATAAACTGAAGCCAAGGGCTAAACTTGTACCCTTTATTCTTTTGATTAAGTATTATATTTTCTTCAAAGCATGTATATTGGAGTCCCATTCTCTTAGAACTAATACTATGACTATTTGGATAACTGTGACAATGAAGAGTTATATATTTCTGTCCAACAATTTTTTAACTCAAGACAGTCAAACTATAATTTATAAAATGTCCTTATGAAAAATAGAGATCTGACAACATTCAGCAACAATCTCCTTAAACACAGACTTAAAATAGTTTCCTCTCTCAGAGAAAAATCTCAGGCTCCATTTGTAAACTGTCCACAAGTCTGACACCTAATCTGTCTTTCTCTCTCTGTTTTCAAAGAGTCAAATTAAATCCATTAACAAATACCAGTTTCATAGTTGTAAATTTTTGTCACCTGCACGCCTACATTTAAAATCTGTTTCTTTGGATAAGAGTTGTTGAAACATCATTCAACACAGTTTTGATCAGCTAAATGTCACCTTACATTTCAACTGCAACAAAAATCAAAGAAAAATATTTTTAAACAAGCTGGTAATTGCTTAACTTTAAGTCTGCCAGTTGAGAATTTATTCATGAAAATGCCTAAAATGAATACTACTACTTATCATTTATAAATTTTGTTTAAACATTTACACAAAGTCACACCTAAATTCATTATGGGTGTTTTACTTCAAATGGAAAGAGCTTTGGAGGAATCTGCACTTCTGTCGCATTTTCTAAACCAAAGAAAAATATATTTTACATTTAGGAATTCATATGTTACAGTATTTTGATGATCACCCATTATATCGCCAACATTAATAGGTAAGGAAGTTCATTTGGTAAGGATCAGAACCAAAATCAGTTATAAATTAATGTATGCATGTTTCTGCTTTCTTTTTTTGACATAGTATAATGCAGTTCAGTGGTGTTTCATGTAAAATCACCTCCCCTTCCAGCATCTTACTGTCAAGAATTTTGTGTTAAAAAAAAAAATCCTGTGCTTATTAAAATCTTAAGCTATTGGATAAATTTGACCTGTATCTAAAAACACTTTTGTATGAATATTTAAAGGCTTCAAAAGAAATAGCCTCGTGAAAATGATTAGCAAGTTTCTAGAGATACCTCTGGAAAAGGAAATCTGCTGTATCATGAACTGTGGACTCTTGCTTTTCCTGTGCCTCCCTCCCTCCCACCACCCCCACATCCTCAAATTAGACTTGTTCTCTCAACTACCAGAGGACAGTTTGACTGCAGCCTAGGTCATGAGTTGCAATCACACGAGAGTGAAATCTACGCGACCCTGAGATCACAGACAACATGTCAGTCCTTACCCAGCCTTCTTGGCAAATGTGTGCCTTAGGTCTCAGTGAGGTTGGAGACGGATAATGAGTTGTGAAGCTTGTCATCTTTACTTGGGGTTCTTTTTAAATTAAAATGCGTTCTTGGATTGATAACTACACTTAGTCTATACCTTAAAAGACTTCCGGGTCTGTTTCATGTGCATTATCTTGTCGGCTCTTTGTGTTAAAGAGATAAATCTGTCTTTGTTCATTTTTATTTAATACTGTTTGTGTTTCTGTGTGTGTGTATGTTCATATGTGTATTAAATATATTCCACATCCTCTGTGGCATTTATTCTGCTAATTATTTATAA